ACTTTCTAAAAACAATTTCCAGTGCTACACCCACAGATTTTTTTTCAAGGAATGATAGGTACTTTTTCAAATAAATAAACAAACAAATAAACTTGTACACCTTTGAATAAGGTATAGAAAGGTAATATATTACAAAAAGAGGTGACTGTATAAAATAAACTAAAATTAAAAGAGGAAGGACAATAGGAGAATTCTTAGATGAACACACAGCTTTCAAGTAGAATACTCTCTAGAATGGAGCATGGCATAGACAAGTTATGGAATAATTTTCTAGATTCCCCTACCTATATCTTTGGTTCTAGTTGAAATGTCTCCTCCACGTTCATTCATCTCTACTCTTTTGTTATGTATGTAGGTTTCAGTATGACTTCACCTAACATTGTGCTGGAAACTCAATAAATAAAGCTATTACTTCTTGATTATTCATAACATTCCATACCTAGGTCTCATCACTTCCTAAAATAAAAATAATCTCTTACAATGGTCTGGAGGTCCAGAGCCTACAAAGTACTTTTTGCCAATCTGATTCCACTCAATCCTCACAGTAGCCCCCTGGCTTAGACAGAATGAAGATCATTCATTCCCTTTTTATGGATAAGTAGCTCGAACTGCAAAGTATTTTGTAGCTTGCTAGGGACAAGAGAGCTAGGCTCCATCTCAGGTCACTTGATTCTCTATTCTCTGTTCTATCCCTTTGGCTACAAAGCTTCTCCCTAGGGACACTCCTCAGATGTTGTCCACTTCTGCCTGGGACTATCATACAGGCCTTGCATATCCACAAAGGAATGTGATCTATATAGTAGCATTCTATCAACTGCCATCGCAGGCAGCACCTGTTCTTCCCATAATGGCATAATTTTTTGTGTCTCACTTCTGTTGTCCAAGCCAAGCCTAGTGTCCAAATCGTGATTCATTTGAACCTAGACCTCAGACATGGTCAGTAGGACGGGTACTATCTTGCCATCATGCCCCAACTCTTTCAACTTAACTCTGTCTAGGAGAGCAGTTTTGTGCCTGCCTCCTCACCAGAACCGACCAACAATAATACACACAGGTCCTGCTGTAATTAAGTATTGATTTCATGTAACGTGTGTACACAGAGGAAGCTCATCTCATTTGTGGGCTGCTGTTATCTGTCGGTAGAACAAAATGTGTGATTATCAGTGGAGATCCCATGGCTATCTATGGCGAACTGTAACCTCTAATCCATCTAATTGTAGTGACATTACGGTACGCCATTCCAGAGTGAACCATTTGTCTTAACATAGCCTCTGCTGCTCTCGGCCTGTTTTTGTCTCCAGAAATAGCTGCACATATTTTTCATTGCAGCTCCTTCTTAGTTCCAATTTGGCCCTGCCAGAATGGAGAGTAGCAAAGTCCATTTACTATAACGTAACATGGCTGTTATTTCAAATAAATGGAGCACTAGGTATTATTTGTTTTCTGCTTTCTTTGTAGTGGTCACAGCTCCCGGCATTATTCTTCTAACCTTGCTATTCCCAAGAGAACAGGAAAAGAAATTTTGGATAGAAACAAGGTTCACATCATTAACATCATCAGAAAATGCTGGTAAGTTCCTGAGTCCCCCTTCACCTTCATGCAGCATTCACGGGCCCTGGGTTGAGCTGAGATTGCTCTGCTCCATAGATTTGATGAGGTAGGTATACTGGGGTGAGAACCCCTGATGCCTATGACAGGAATGAGAGTCCGAGTAACTGAGACCCAGGTCTATCTCAATTGTATGATTATTCTTTTCATTTGACAGCTTCATCTCTACTGAGCCACTGGCTGGCTGTCTTGATTAGGAAATTTCTCCTAACAGTGGAATGGAGGTTTCTAAATAAAGATATGAGCTCTTTGTGTGTCTTTGCTTGTTTGGAGTTTTCTATTGTGGGGTGGGAGATTGGATGGAATAGATTGCATAGGTGGTGCCTTCCCTTCTTGCTCAAATTATGGGCCTTGGGTATCAGGAGATGAACCAATTTAAAAAAGTCTTGTTTCTACGGCTGGTACACTCTCCCTTAACACAGAAGTTTTATCTTTTACCTGCTGCTACTTAAAGTTACTTTCATGAGGTGTTTCTTTCCTGTTGCCATGTAAAGGGATTAAAAATAACATTGTAGACAGATTGGTGTTAGAGGGGGAAATTTCCAGTTCTGTGCATCATTACGGGTCATGTTTTAGGAGCTCACATTGAAGTCCTCAAGCTCCATTTTAAATGTCACTTTATCAGAGCCCATTCACCTGGATGAGCTAAGAGTCCTGAACTAGGGAATGACAAGTAATTGCCAATCACACTGTAGAGGTGTTAGTTGCATCTTAAATATATTACTTAGGAATCTGGTGAATGAGCCAGAAACAAAATAACAGTCTTCCTTAATATCCTCCACTCATTTAGCAGGGGTCTTTAAGGGATCATATCAACAATAATATTGCACAAATCATAAATGTTTCTTTTGGTACTTTTTTAGGTGGGAAATGGAGGGTCACTGGAGGACAAAGTATAGACGTTGGAGTCAGAAGAATTGAGTTCTGACTTCCCAGCTCTTTGATATCGAACAAATAAAGTACTCATCCTCTCAGAGCTTCAGTCTTGACATCTATGTAATATGAGCATAACAGGGATCTTGTAGGTCATAAAGAGTAAGTACGCAACACTCAAAAAGTTATCTAGCTCAGCTCATGACACGTAGTAGACACCGAAGCATCCTGCCATCATGCTACCTAGTCCACTGGGTGAATGTCATCTGAGTTAATTACAGCTCTAACTGTACAGACCTTTATAAAGTTTAGTTGTGTTTCTTTCATACAGTCATTTGAACTGTCTACAGAATGTTCATAAGACAATACCTAGACCACACCTGGACTATTCAAAAATGTCCTGAGTGATTGTTTCAAAGGGCCCATCCAGAGGTGAGTGATGAGTCTAGTAAAATTCTGTGATATGCTTAAGAATCATCTGGGCACTTGCTAAATATGGGCAGATTCGAGGGCCTTCTCTCATAAAATCTGATTCAGTTGGTTTGAATGAGGGGCCCCTGAAAGTTGCATGATTAATGTGTTCCTTAGATGATGATAATGTTTTTGGACCACACTTCAAGAAATATTGACAGAAATGTCAACAGAAGAACAGCTAGGGATCTGAGATTGTCATCTGGGAAAGGTCCACTCATGGAGAACAAGACAGCAGCCTTCCAATTGCCAGATAAATTATATAGGTAAAATGTGATTTGTTCTGGTGCCCCAGGAGTCCAAACGAAACCTGATAGGAAGAAATTCCAGGGAAGAAAATTTCAACTTACTATAACTTAAAATTTCAGCTTAGTTTAAGTATTTTCTAAGAATTAAAGCTATCTAAGAGTGAAATATATTGCCTCCAGGGGTAGTGAGTCCTATAGCCTAGGAAGAATTCTGAGTGGCTTCTGGAAATTTTATATAGAAGAAATCAGCTCATATTCTTATTCCCTATGGCACGCAATTACTTTTATTATAATTGTTTGCCTATTGGTCTAGTGCATTCACTCTTACAATTATTTATTAACCATGCTCTTGGTACTTGATTCTCTAAAAATGAAGTACAAAAGTACTGCACGGATCCAGGCAAAGGTATAATCTTAGTAGGTGCTGTTGTCAGGAATGGAGAAGCTGGTTCTCAGTTTCAATATGGGAGAAGGTAATAGGCATTATTTGGCACTGAGAAGTGAGGAAGGGGTTATCCACTGCGGAAAAGAGGTAGTAAGTAGACTAGTTTTGCTTTGAGAAGAAAAGGTTCTTTTGTACTAGCATTTAATAGGTTAATTTGCTGAAACTTTCATTTTCTTCCAAATGGGTATCAACTTTTCTCTTTCTCTTAAGAGCTATGAAATTCCAATTGTCTCTTAGAAAATGGATTGCTAAACACTTGCTTTTCTTGGCTCCACATGCATGATTACTGCTCTCCTTAAATTTGTGGACATCCTAATGTATATAAGATGTTCCCCTCCTGCTATTTTTTCAAAAACCTCTCACAAAGGAAGAGAAGAAAGCTCATCAATGGAAAATGGTATTTGCAGCAAAACAACACCAACAGCTGGCTTCACTCTCAGGGGAGAACTCTGCACCTCATCCTTGTGGAAGATGCTCTTTCTTGATTTTCTACAAACTTGTATGAGGAATATTGTATTGAGTCAATCAGTAGACATTGATAATTTCCCTCCTTCCAGGTTTTCAAATAATAACACCACATTCTAGAGTCAAGACCCAGATTCTGTTTTAAAGCTAGAAGCTGGCCACTCACACCAAGATGGCATTAGAGGTTTTTAGAGTTGAGACAACCAAGCGACACTTTGTTAAAAGCTTATATGGGCCAATTATTAGACCTACAGAGTTTTATAATCAGCTGACCTAAGAAATCTTGTTAAACCACATGTGCAGGTTCATGTGAAATTGTGCCTCAATTTGATTGTTCTTTGTTGCACCTTCTCTCCTCTTTCTACCTTCTTGATAGTTGCTATTTATTTGGTACTTTAAAATTTTTCTTCTTATTGACTTATAGATCCATCACAAAAAATGTCATAAAGATACCTTGATCAATAATATGTTCAGAGTTTCTTAAAATCCTAATATGTATTGAGACTGTCTAAAAGGCCTAGTTTTGGAAGTTGCCATCAGCAGCAGATTTTGCTGAATAGCACTATATGTGTTTAATAATAAAGTTTTCTTTTTTTATAAACTATTTCTTGTGGAACTATATTCTGTGATGCCGAGGTTACAAAAAAATATCATTTTTCTGTTACTGTTAGTGTTTTTCAGGTACCCATTTTTAAGTGGATGCACTTTGGAAACCTAGGTGATTATCTACATCAGAAAAACACCTTATCCTGGGCCCCATCGGGTGACTTGGACAAAGCAATGCAATTTAGATAGGGGAAATGGTACGTATTACGTTTTCGAAGAGCCAGCTTCCAATAATAACCATCTGACCCTTGTGATCCTAGGTTTTCAATTTTCCTTTTAAAGAATGCAACAAACAATACTGCCAAAGCATATTTTCTGTCGAGTGTTCATGGATTTGCGAGTTGCTGGGCAAATTTTTCCGTCTTCAGTATTAGAAGACACAAACATCAAACACTTACTTTTCTCTTACAGTAGCTTCTCATGCAATTGTCTCATGGCATATGCTAAATTCTGGTTTGTGTCTGAGAAGAAACTCCCCATATGTGAATACAGGGAAATAAGGGTATGATTTTAACCTTTTTCTAGGTTTTGTTTTGTTTTGGTCTTTTTGACTTGAGTATGAGCTCAATGTCTGCTAATTAAAAGAATAAACAGAGCAGCCCATTGCTAACACCAAAACACATTTATTGAGTGCCTACCTTTTGCCTATCCTTTTGCTATACTCTATTCTGAGACAACTTAAACAACATATCCTATTTAAGAGATATTTTAATAAACTAGCAGTTTGGAAATTCCTGATAGGAGGTAGGTGTGATATTCAGTGTAGCTTCAACTGCCAAGTAAGCCGTCGACCTGAAAATGTCTATGCGGAAAGATGATTAATTTAAAAAATAATTTCTAAGAAATACCCTGTATCTTTGTACAATTCCTTGGTCTCCAGGGAAAGAAGTCCAGATAACTTGAGTGTTATTTGGCCTGGTAAAAATGTACAACCGAATTCTGATCTCAATTCCTGCTTCTCCTTCCTTTTCCCTTCTTTCTAAATTAAAGAGCAGTTTAACATTAGCAAGGGTGTTGTATTAGTTTCCTATTACTGCATAACAATTACCCCCAAACGTAGTTGATTAAAACAACCAACATTTATTATCTCTCAATTTTAAGCTAAGTAGTCTGGCTCAGAGTCTCTCATGAGGTTGTGGTTAGAAGGCCAGTAGGGCTACATTGTCTGAAGGCTTGACCAGGACTGGAAGGTCAACTTTCAAGATGGCTCACTCGCTTGACTCTTAGCAGGAGGCCTCACTTCCTTTCTATGTGAGCCTTTCCACAATGTCCTTAGGACATGGAAGCTGGCTTTCTCCAGAGGGAGTGATTCAAGGGACAGTAAGAGCAAGAGGGAGGAGAAAGAGAGAACAGGAACCACAGTGGCTTTTATAAATTAGTTTTCAAAATCATACAACTGTCTCTTCCTCTTTGTTCTGTTTGTTAGAAGTGAGTCACTAAGCCCAGCTCACATTCAAAGGAAGAGAATTAGACTTCACATCTTGGAGGGAGGAGTATCAAAGAATTTGGGAACACACGTTAAAACTACCATAGTTGTCCTTATCATTTAGAATTTCCAAAGAGTTTCCAAACACTGTTTCTTCGAGAGTTCTCAGTGATAGTGGTGTCTTTCTCCCCTACCATTAAAGTGCAGGGTCTCTTGCTCTAGAAGAACCATAGTAAATTATCAGTCATTTGCATAAATCTCTGCTTCCAACTGCTGTCCTATTATATTCTGGGTAGAGTTTGTTCTTGCCCGTGGAGAAATGATAATGTGCTGAAACATTCTGCTGTACTCAAACAGAGCACTTCCCTGTGATTTTAAGACTTCCCATCATCATATTTTCATTATCATGAGGATGGTATCACAGAAGAGCAAGTATAAGTGGACTGACATTTATTTTGTGAGCATTGAGGAGAGAGACACGTTTCTCTAACTTTGTGGTTCTCCTTGGTAAGACAAATTTAAACAGATCACATGTTCATAAATTAAGTTTAAAAAAGAGCATTAGCATATACTGAAGTAGAAGGTAGGATAGTAATAAGGCTGTTTGTTTATATTTACCTTTGAGAAACTCTAAGTATTTCTAAGGTATTAACTTAGAGACATGTTAGTGAGAAAAGTAGTGGTCTGGAGGTTCTTTTTTTCTTTTCTAAAAAACTTTTATATTAACATACAGTAAAACTTCCATTTTTGGTAAACAGATCTATGAATTATAACATATATATAGATTCTTGTAACCACTACCACAATTGAAATACCAAGCTATTTCATCACCCTCTAAAATCTCCCTCTTGCTATTCCTTCATAGTCATATCTCTTCCCATTCTTAAGTCATTTCAACTTCTGATCTTTTTTCTATCACTGTAGCTTTGTCTTTTTGAGAATGCCACCTAAATGGATTTATATATATGTAACCTTTTGAGACTAAGTTCTTTCATTCAGCACAATGCTTTTGAGATTAATCCAAGGTGCTGTGAGTATCAATAGTTCATTTCTTTTTGTTGCTAAGTAGTATTCCATTGTATGGGTATACCACAGTTTATTTATATATTTACCTGCTAAAGAACATTTGAGTCATTTTTAGCTTTTGCCAATTATGAATAAAGCTACCGTACACATTTGCATACAAGTGGTCAAGTAAACATAAAGTTTTATTTCTCTATAGTGAATATATAGGAGTAGGATTAGTGGGTCACATGACAATTGAATGTATAATTATATAAAAAACGTTCAAACTATTTTCTAGAATGATTGTACCATTTTACATTCCCATCAGCAATGTATAAGGGTTCCAGTTCCCTCACATGATTACCAACATTTGGAATGATTAGAGTTTTTACTTTAATCATTCTGTTAACTATATAGTGGTATCTCATTATAGTTTTAATTTATATTTCCCTAATGGCTAATGATATTGAACATTTTTTTATATATTTATCTCCTATATATCCTTTTTGATAAAGTATCTGTTCAAGTCTTTTGTTTATTCTTAAATGAGTTGTTTTTTTTACTGTTGAGTTTTATGAGTTTTTTATATTGTTCTTTTATTGTCATATCTAAGAATTCTTTGTCTAAATCCAGGTTGTGTGTTTTCTCCTATGCTTTCTTTTAAAAGTTTTATGCTTTACATTTAGATCTATGATTCATTATAGTTAAGTTTTGCATAATGTGTGAGGTTTAGATTAGAAATTGTCCATCTATCTATCTATCTATCTATCTATCTATCTATCTATCTATCTATCTATCTATCTATCATCTTTCTCTCTCTCCCCCCCATCTCTATCTATATCTATCATATGGATATCCAATTGTTCCAACACCATTTGTTGAAAAAACTACCCTTTCTCCATTGAATTGCTTGTGCATCTTTGTCAAAAATCAATTAGCCATACTTGTGTTGGTCTATTTTTGCATTTGATCTTATCCAAAAGTCTGAGAAGTGGTGTGTTGGTCTATTTTGGTACTCTCTGTTCTATTGAGATTTTTCTGGTTCTTCATAGGCTGAGTAATTTTGTATTGTATCCTGGACATTTTGAATATAATGTTATGAAACTCAGAGTCTTGTTTAAATCCTATGAAGAATGTTTGTAGGTTTATTCTAATTAGAAAGTCTTTCTGATTTTCCCACTCCTCATGTTAAAACTAGAGAGCTTCTACTGGAACTCTCTCTGTGCCCTGTACCCATTTGTAAATTTCAGGCTTTCTTGAGTTTGGGCAGGGAATATTGGGAAGAAAATGATAAACTCATTTTCATTTCCTGAGGCAGCCAAAAATTCCTCCAATTTGTGGAAGAGTGAAAATGGACTCCCCTAATGTCATAGCTCTGGGACCAAAATATTGTTATGGCTTTTTTAGAAAAAAAGTCTGCCATGACCAACCAATTAATAATTTCAAAATGGTGATATTTAGATGTTATTTTATAATATGTATTTTCTGGAATAGTTTTATGAAATAAAACTTCCTCTCATCTGTGGTTAGTCAGTGGTACAGATCATATATGAAAAGCAAGATGAACATTTGAATCTTTCCCTTTATTTGCCAGTTTTCAAAATAATTAATTAGTTCACCAGTATCCTATTATAGTTTTCCTTAATAAAACAATTATTCCTTAATAAAGCTAATAAAACAATTATTATTTTCTCATTGATTTAAATATATTTGATCTGTTTAGCTTCATTGCAGTTCATGGATCTGCAGTTGTTGTTAACCTTATTGATGCTCAAATTGAGTACAGAACTTTTTATTATCATATGACTACCTAGAATAAACCATGACTTGCCCAGATCACAGTGACAACAGGTGACAATATAGAGTAAGTCTTCCAGTTGACTGATCTTTTCCTTGAGGGCATATTACCATTACTGGACAGCAGGTGCTCAGGAATGAAGTGCAATGTAATCTATACATTTATTTTTAATTATTCATTCACTCACTGAACCAACAAACATTTGTTGAATATCTATTGTGTCAGCCATTCCATTAGGCAGGCACAGG